GAAAACTATAAGACCTGTAGTATTTGAGTCTAAGTAATACAATAGTACACAGTATAACTACCTAGTACACAAGTAGGAACTCCTCACAATTGTCTACACACTTAAGAAATAGTGTGTTTACCTTCTTAGAGTATATTTCTATGTCTATACTAATTATTATACTCTCAAATACTTAGATACACAGTAGGATCTGTCTAGAAGACAAGCTTAGTAGATAGAGGACCTCTCCTAGTATGACTACAAGTTACATTACATTAAGGGAGAGGAGAATACAGTTGTAGATACACTTTCCTACCACCCAGACTTTGACTCTAACCTAGAAAACAGAAGTCCTACTCAGGAAGTCTTAAAAGGGACAGCTATACAGATCTCTACAGATCTTAATCTTTTTAAAACAATTAGGAACAGTTACAACACAGACAAATTCTGCTGTAAACTGTGTGCCAACCTCAGAAGTATGGAGGGAGCTTGGGAGGATTATAGGCTTCTATACTTAGACAACCAGTTAGTAATTCTAAGTACTAGAAATGTTTGTAAAACCTTGTACCACCTTGTGTATAATAAACTAGAACATTTTGACACAGACAAAACATACCTTACCCTATACAACTTATACTATTAGCTTAATATGTGTTAGGATCTTAAGTAGAATTACATTCCTAGATGTAATACATGTTAACAGAACAAGAACCTAACTACAAAACCTGTTAGCCTACTATACTTGCTTCTAGTCCTGAATGTGTGTTTTGAGAGTATTATGATTAACTTTGTTAGACTACTACTAGAAGACAGTAGATATAATAGAATAGTAACAATGACAGATAGGTTAAGTAGAGTAGACATTAGAATTGAGCCTTGTAGGATGGACATAATAGTAGAGGTGTTTGTAAGACTGTTTTTTAATAAATAGTATTATAAAAACAGCTTACCTTAGGAAATTGTTTCTAATTAGGACTACTTGTTCCTGTCCAGATTTTGGACCACATTGTATGTACAAACAGGTGTAAAGCTGAAGATGTTAACAGTATACTACTTAGAGACAGATAGTACTAGTAAGTATACTAACAAAATAGTAAGCTAGTTGTTACACTTCTATATAGATTACTAACAGTAAGGGTAGTAAACTTAGCTCTTATAAGTATGATTCTGTCTTATAAACATAGTCAATACCTTTACAGGTTATTCCCTGTTCTAATTACAATATAGTTGCTTACTATAGACAGTCCTACTACTTATACAACATCTAGAACTGTTACAAGCAGATTCTCTAAAGACACAAGTTACAGAATTCCTTACTTACATACACTAGAATGTTATAAAGGTATAAGACACTCTCCTAGTAGTAAAGACATACTAGGTACATTATACTAACTAGGACTGTGTAGTAGAGGACTGTTTTGTAGTAGGAGATCAAGTTATACTCTCTACTTGTAACTACTACTAGGATTATCTTGTACAAACACTAGAACATACTGTAAAGTTTATACTACATTATAATAAACTGTACTTCATAATTACAGTCAACCTAGACAAGTTAGAATATACACTAGAGTTACCTAACTCTAATCAGACCTTCCCTAGGTTCTATACAAGTTAGCTAAAGTACTATGTCCTAAATAATAATGCCTTATTTCTACAACACACTCTCAACTAACTAGGTCTAGTAGAAGGAGATAAGAAAGTATACAAAGTATTATAGATTGTAGACAGAAGGTACAGAGAGTAAGGTTGGTAGTATTTAGTAGAATAGGAAGGATAGAGTAAGTAGGGACATGAATAGAAGGCAGAGTCTGAACTCTAAAGGACAGCTCCTAAGGTACTACAAGCATAGTTAGCCTTACACTCACACAAGAGTGTTATTTTTTCAGAAGAGGAAAGGGTGTAAGCCTACCCTATAGCTTACAACAGTTTCTATACTGTTCTGTACCTCTCTAGATACAGAACCACATTTCTGAACCTAGACCTTCTCTCAAGCCTAGACCTTCTTAGTATAGACTCTAGAGTCATACACATTTCCTCTTTTGTCATTACAATATGTTTCCTTATTGTCTGAGTCATATACTCTTCATTCTTAGAGTGTATACACTCTCCTTTTTATTTTTTACATTGTTTTCCCCTTTAGGTATGAGCCACCTTTGTTTCATTTCTAGTATATATAGTTTTAATCTTTCATCTTTGTTGTACTAGTTCTTATTCCTGACTGTAACAAAGGTGAGTTCTCACATGTATATAGACTAGTTCTTATTCCTAACTATAACAAAGATACCTTTGTCCTGTCAGCATTCTGTGTGTGTTAGCAAACCTGGAACTCAACAGAACTTGTTTACAACAGTGTTTAGTACTTTCCTAGTACTGTTCTACTATGTCTTACAATTGAAGGTGTATATAATGTGTATGTACAGGTACAGCTTTGCTTACTACTCAAATCAGCTTGTTTAATACTCTGGATCCTAACCTTAGTGTACTACTCACACTTACTATACACTGTTATAGTGTGTTCACCTTTTCTCTCTTATTATCACTTACTAATTACTCTAAACTTGTCTTACAGACACAGTCTCAGCCTTTACAACCTGCTTGACCTTAATTCACACACACACACTATTCAACTTGTAGGGACTGAGTGACAACCAAAGTGTAGTGTTAAAGACTATATTAAACAGTCTGAGAACACATTCTTCCTCTTCTGTTACAAATACTGTTAGGAAAAGAATAAGGTAGAGACAGCTTATTATACACTACAAGTACTGTAAGTGTCTCTTCATTAGTATCTACTACTAATTCTGATGACTATAGCAAATTTGACTGGCTCTCTACTAATAGTTCACTATATGACTGCCTGTTCAGATATCTGTACACAAGGTGTAGTAGTGTGTGTAAAGTAGAGATGACAGACTTTAGTGATTTTAAGATAAGTAATACAGAGTACTTGTAAGAATGGGTTCAACTGTAAACACAGTCATAACTGTTGAGCCTCTTAATACTCTTACTTTCTAGTGGTCTGTCTGGATCTGGTCAAGGGATAAGCCTGGCAATTAACACCTGTAATACACTTGTTCACTACTTGAGTCTGGTCTGATCCTAACCTCTACCTACTCATATTTGTATTATAGTAGACATAGACACTCTTACTTACTCTCTGTACAAATCTTGACACAGACTGTACTATGTATGTGTTTCAGTTTATTTTCCTTAATTATTGTAAATAATAATGTATTGTACAAATATTTTAATATAATTAATTTTTGTTATTTTAATAATAAATGGATGTAAGAAGAAATTATTATTATTAAGAAATAATAACTATGTATAGTCTCTGTAAAACATTACAAACATGTATTACCCTTTCAAAACTTGGTAATCCTTACAATACATTTCAAAAAAGGGAGGTCCAATATTATACATTTTATATGTTTAAAAGGGGTATTACCCTTATGTACTTTTATTACATTAATAAACCTTACAGTACCTTATACAAAGTTATACTACTTTATCAGAAATCAAGGTCTGATAATATGTAAATTACTTTTTTTTACTTTTTTACTTTTTTCACACCATTATAATGTAATATAACCTTTTAGACTTTTTCCTAATAAAGGTAGTTATGACAAAAGGAGGACTTAATACAATCACAAGGAAAAGTGTGTGGCTCAGTGAGCCACTGTAAGAATCTGTGTACAGGACACACAGTTCTGTACCAGGACAGGTGTAGAACTGTGTAGAAACTGTTGTAAGCTGTCAGGCAGGCTTACAAGTGTTTAGTCTTTATAAGTAAAAGCTGGTTATAGTTAAAGCTTGTAATATATAAGTATAATATTCTTTCAGAACAATATTGATTACTTAATTGTAGTTAATCAGGAGTGTCTTATTTACTTAGTATACACATTACTATATATATCTTAATATCAATTTGAAGTTGTTGTTAATATTTAAATTTGTCTTGAATATATAGTACTTAATTAATAGACTATAAAGTCTACACAACTCATGAATAAATATAGAGCCAAGTCTACTAAACCTTTACTAGTATAATTTCTCTCTCTAAGTAAACTTATAGAATAATATTTCTAACAAGTTATAGGCCTTACATTCTTTACTTAACTACCTACTTTATGTTTACACTTTATTCTACTATTTACTATAATTTTAGTATTTATCTGAGTATTTCAGATACAAATTACTATATTATAAAGACTACAATTTATTATATTATCTTATACACAATAGTATTATAATTTACTTAAACAAATCATATCAATTATAATAAGTATTTATTATTACTACAATTAAACACTAAAAACACTTTATTTGATAAAGACAATATTATAAAGACAATATTATAGTAAATAATATTTAATATTACAAACAATACTTAAAACAGTACATAAATCAAATAATAAAATAATTTATAATAAAATGAATAAACAATATATTATAAACTGTTTGTCTATATAGAGAAGTACAGTATTAAAATATTCCTTAGAGTCTGTGGCAGTGTAGCAGCAGGCCGAGTGCGCTTCATCCGGAAGCAAGTCAATAATTTACTTATTCACTGCATTTTGTTTCTGCCTCTTACCACCGTCGTTGTCGTTGTTGACAAATTCAACCAGGGAAATTGACTGGTTAGCCCGACGATGCAGTCAGCGTCCAAGGGCCTGGGGCACTTCGCCTCAGGCATCCGTTCGCTGCATGCGTACGCCCCGCGCTCAACGCCTGGCGTGCATCCACATGGACATCGTCCACCCACGACGACAACAACAGGACGAGTCTTACACACTACTCGAACAGCACTCTCGCGCTTCTTTGCACACCTTATTACTCCTGGATTCTCTCATCCTGTCGTAGGACAGACGGCGGGCTTGTCAACGAGAGTCAATGCAACTGTTAGACCGCAGACGATTGAACAGCGACTTTCGTCACCTGCACGTCATGCTTATACGCTTTCAAGGCCAAGAGGACCGTTCTTGCCGAGACCTTCTCCTGCTTCGCGGAGCACGGTACAAGTCGGCCTTGGTAGCGCGAGAAATTTCTCGACGGCACGACCAATATTTCAGCAACTCACGCAGAATGTGCCTGTTGCTGGACGTGCAATATACAAAGCAGACTGGGATCTGGAGAAGAGGAAGACGAAGGGTAAACTCAGGAGAGACTTAAAGACGAGCACTGAGAAGGAGGCTGTGCGTTCGACGCTCCGTGCAAAGCCCATTGAGAAGACTAGGAGGGTTGTCGAGCTTGAGCGTTATTTCCCTGAACCAGCTCCAGCTGCAAATGGTGTAACGACTGTATTGCTTGTCCCTCTTGCACCTACACCGACGGGTCGTCTTCCATTGACGGATACTCAAGCGACGGAGCCGAGTCTCCTCGTAGTTTCAGACTTGCAAGAAATCCTTTCCACACATCGTATACACTCGCTTCGAGTATCCTCGCTGTTTGTAAGGCTCGATGCATGTGGAGTGTGGGATAAGGGTGCAAATTTCTCTGCTCATGGAGATGCAAGCGGCCTGTGTACGGTACTGCGCGTGGAATTTAAGAGATGGACAGCGGCGATGGTGAGGAACGTGATGGGTGATACGGGGAAAGGCTGGTGTCGGTTAGTCGAGATAAAGGATGACGAGGACAATCCCAGACCCACAACACCGGAGGTCGACCCAGCAGCGTCTGTCGTTCTTCCAACACTGGATTTCTCAGCATCGTTTCAAGCCGCATGTGCATCCGCTGAATCGCAATCGCATCCGCCTTCGCCACCAATGTCAAACGTATCGTCTCCTCTGCTCAGTCTATCCGAGCTGAGTTATACACCTACCGAATTTAAGACGGAGATGGACATGATATACGATAATAACTCCGTCTCTCGTCCTGGCTCGGTGTTAAGTTTTAGTTCCGAATTCCTCACAAGGTCTAACTAGCAATATATACACGTCACTCATTGTTTAACCGCATGTATTCCCATTTCTGTATCTTTTCCCGCATGTATGTAGCCCAATTCCTAAACAGGTTCCCTAAATTCCAATTTATTCGTTCTATCGGTATTCCGTCTGCGAGGGATTAGGACGTAGAAAACACTTCAGAGAACCGGCATCTCACCTTCTAACCAAAGACATAAAATGCCCTCAATAAGTTGCGGTGCTGCCAAGAGAAATCAGAAATAAACTCACTCTCATCAGCGGTTGTCATTTGCTATAGGTGGAAGGAAAGAAGACTTCCAAGTGCTTCGTCATCGATAATTACAATGCTTTTTACGTATTCGAAGGCGAATCAAAAAATGAATGAATAAATGGCAAATTGGACGGTCACTTATTTCTAATCAAAAAGTTAATAGCCGTCACTGAAGACCAGCCTAGCCGCAGCTCCATATTGTACTGCTTAATTAGTAACGAATCTTTTACACACACAAAGACAGGAAAAGATCGATGTCCATCAAAGCACTTGTTTCTGACGATACTTTACACACATTCTCAAAGCAAATCCACAATACACCACTAAAATTCTGGATAACACAAGAAACAAGAAAACAAACTTTTCATCTATTGACCTACATTACATTCTTTCTTTACCGTGGACGCGTTGCAACAACAGCAGACCAACCAACCAGATGGATGTGGGTGTAAATGGATAGATGAGTGTGGCTATAAGTAGGTGAGGGTAGAGCGAGAAGAAAGGTTGAGTAGGAAGTATGGTATGCTGTAGTGTGATAGTGATATAGGGAGCCAATCACAGGCAGGATACAAGCGAGGAAGGGAATCAATAATACGGCGAGGCGGAAACGGAAGTGATGAGAGGGATAAAGGCATGAAAGCAGCGTGTGCGAGAGCATCGTCGACAGTTACGTACCAGAACGAGTCAGGAAAAGGGAAACGAGTAGATGGAAAAGGAGAAAGATGGAGAACGTGGGGAAAGAAGAAAGCGAGAAGATGGTTTGCGTAAGCAAACCTAGAGTAAGGAAAAAGAAGGAATAGAGGATGCTGATCTTGGTGTGCTACTTATGTGGATGGCGAGTGACAGGTGAATATATGCGCAGACTGTGGATATTTAGTTCCGATGAGTTGATAGGAGACGCGAGGTGATGCGAAAAACTGCAAAGAAATAAGCAGGAAAAAAATCAAACCCAACCTACAGCCACCACACCCAGCGCCACAGTCCACTCAGCCAGGGCAAGTATGATATAGTTCGGCACAAACGCACATTCAGCAAACCTCATTCCCGTTTCTTACCACCACCCTTCCCACTCGTGTCAATACGAACAGAAGGGCCCGACTTCGACCCCGTGTGCTTGTGCCCAGATCCATGCGGAGGTCCACCCGACGGGGCATGTGGATGTGCGTTATTCTGGCTTTGTCGTTGGTTCTGATTCTGATTTTCTTTCTGACTGCTCGACGAAGTGACGATAGCTGATGGCTGTCCTTCCACCGCGTCTTCCGGCGCGAACACCTCATCAACAGGTTTCAAGGCATCCGCATCGTGCAACTCCTCAATCTGCTGCCTTTCATTTGCCAATGCAAGACGTGCACGTCCTTCGCTCCCAACAGCCGCACTTATACTTCTCACCATACCACTGCCAGCTCCACCTTGCGCCTGCTGTTGCTGCGCAGCAGCTGCGCGTCGTCGAAGATCTTCTTCCTCTGCCTGCCGGATCATCTCAACCTCACCTTGCACGAGTACACCGTCTAGCCACGAGTGATGCACGAGCTCTGCAGCACTCCCACGCTTGTCTGGGTGCAAGCGTAACATGGGAGTTAGGAACGAAGCAATCTCGTCTGCTTGTTCCTTCGGAAGCAAATATTTATCGTGCAATACCGCTTCCAACGGCCAGAAACGCAACTTCTGAATGTGGCGCAATTCGCCTAAAGCAGAGAAGGAATAGATCAATTTAGAAGAGAATTAGATGAGAGGGGGATGCTCATTACTCAAAGACAAAGAACGGACCTTTTCGGTTGAAGAACTCTGAGCTGTATTTGCCAGAGAACGCTATACTTTTTGGAAATTCCCCAATGAGCTCTATGATTTGTGCGATATGGTCATCATCTTTGCTGTATCGGGACCCCGAAGCGGGATCAAATAAGTAGTCTCCACCAGTGATAAGCTCAAAAATCTAGTGTGTGTGAAAATCCGTTGGGCGCTGTACATAATCGACCGACAAATGTCTTTGTACGTACCATGCAAGCCACACTCCATACGTCCGCACTAGGTCCCCATTTGGCCCCGAGGATAACCTCTGGGCACCGGTATTGTCTAGTCTGGATATCGTCCGTAAAATGATGTTCAATCCACGTTGCTATGAGGGGAAATGCTCTTATTATAGCGCCCTAAGACAGGAGACAAAACATTCTAAAAGTTCCTCACCATTCCCTAGATCAGCTATCTTAACTGTGATCCGTTCAGTCGCATTCATTAATTCCTGCATGCCCGATGCTTGCGATTCGCTCGTTGACGCAGAGTCCAACGTCGATTGTCGGGAGTAGGCATCGACAGACATCGCACTTGTAGATAACGGAACGCCGTCCCCTGTTGCTTCCGTTATGCTACCGGAGACCGCCATCGGGTCTGCTCGTTCGCCGGTGCGTTGACCTGCAGAACCTGGCGTAGGTGCCTGCTGTGACAGCAGTGATGGTCCTGGGCCAGGCTTTGCAGGCGTGTTGAGCGATACCGAGGCGATAGCGTCGGCGGTCTTGTCTGTCGAGTCCGAGCGCCCCGGGCCAGCCGTGCGCGCTTCGTCCCCCTCTCCCGTTGTGCCTTCGACGCTCTTGCTCTTCCCCTTGCCGGAGCTCTGGTCATCGGCGTCGCTGTCGAGCTTCGTCATGCCGAACTGCCATCTATCGAGCATAGGACTCGAGCCATACGAACTCGAGGGCGAGGGCAAGGGTTGCGAGCCAGTGATGAAAACGGACTCTGAGCGCGGTGTTTGGTTCCCGCCTCGCCCACGCGATGGCGGGACACCGATGAGCTTCGTTGGAGCGGGTCCGGAGGCAGGGTTGGCAAGCTCTGTCTGAATGATATCCTCTACATTATCAATGCATATAAGCACGTTTTCGGGCTTAAGATCTGTGTGAATCATGCCGCAAGAGCGGTGCATATAATCAAGTCCTAGCAGGATCTGCTTTGAGATCTGTTTGACGAGGTGGAGGGGCACACCCTTGTTTTGGTGACGGCGGATGAGGCCGAGGAGGTTCTCGCCGAGCACCTCGAAGACCATGCAGACATGTGTTCCGTTGGGTCCGCGATGGCGGAAATGGTCGAGGAAGGCGATGACATGCCTACGGCCGGGATGGGTGGGGTCGGAGGAGATGATGCGCTGGAGGAGCTTGATCTCGTCGAGGGCGGTCTCCGTATAGCGCGGGGCCGATTTGACGACCTTGAGGGCGACGTGGCGGTTGAAGCGGGTGTCGCGTGCAAGCCAGACCGTGGAGAAGTGGCCCCAGCCGAGTTTGCGTACGACGACGTAGCGACCGTCGGAGAAGGTGTCGCCAATATGGACAGGATGGTATCCGCCCTTGACATAGTCCTCCCAGTCCTCCTCGTCTTCTGTCATGAGGGAGTGGGACGAAGAGTCGTAATCAGACTCGTGCGACATGTTTCGCGGCGAATTTGAGTAATTAAAGTGGAAATCACTGGAACTGCCACCCCGCGTTCAGCTCAGCTCGCCCTCCGGTTGGCAGAGATAAGCAGGACCCACAACTCACAGATAAGCAAAAACAATACAACACCCAGCACCGCCTATAGCTCCCAGCGGCACGCCTCTTCTCTTCTTCCCCTTGCCGTCCCTTTGTCCTGGACGGTGATAACTAGCAAACTTACGTTCGAGTTCGGCGCAGCGGTCAGTTATGCAAGTCGCAGCGAGCAAGCTACCTGGAGAGGCGCAGGGTTGTTGTGCTCGGTTATTATAGGCTGTGCGTGTCTGGATCCTCAACAAGGCAGACCTGCCTAATCCTCCCACAGCTCTCGCTCAATGTAGGCAAATCTGTCTGCTCTGCCCAGATGGTAGAATATCTTCGTTCTCGTCGCTGCTCGTGTTGTCGATCGCCAGCTCCGGCCACCACCATCTCTCAGTTTTCACCACGCGCAACACGTGCTACACGCGTCCCCGACACGGACGCAAACTCGGTCCGCACACTCCAATTCATTCACTCAACCCCAATCGATCTCGTTGCCTGCCTTTGTCCAGCTGCCAGCAGCTTCATTCATTATATTTACCCGCTTAGCCTTTTAGTTATCTGGATTTCTGTGATGCTATCATCTGCTGGCTTTGTCCTCGTTCGTAATGCTGGCCCTCCAATTGGCCCACGGAACTCCCCACTCGCCGGATCTCAACTCCTTCAATATATATCCCTGTTTCACAACCTCATCATCAAGCAAATATCCTTCGTGTTGGCCTTATTTGCTTTCCTCAGACAGGGACACCTAAAGAAAATGTCTCATGCTTGGCCTCTCCACCAAGTTCGTTTCTCCCCCAACCGTGGGTTCTCGCGCCAGCCAAGAACAGGCGCACTCACACAATAATATATTCACAAACACGGGACACTCATAAACACTCATTTTCTCTTGCATTTGTCTCACATCCTTCAGTGCCCACACCTCATTCCGTCATCTGACCATTGGAGAACAAGTTGTCCGTCCACTCGACAATAATGTCCTCACTTGTAATGAGAAGACATAAACTTTTAACCTTCTGGAATCTGTATATATGCGCTATGTCTTCTTTCGTCTTTGATTCTAGACTACACGGAATTCACGGAGGATTCTTTCTCAGTCCGACTCACGTAAACGAAGCTGCCACCTTCAACAACGTCCTAGCTCCAAAAAAATTCTAAGCATGCCAGCATAACGGTCGAACCCACGTTCTTTTTATTACAATGCCAAGCAAGTATTTAGTGCTGAAGATCCATCCATAATTATACAATTTCTAAATATGAAAACGTTGCCTCCGACAGAAATATGTATTAACATAGCCTCTCTTGCTTGTACGGCAGATCTAATTAAAGATGTAAATCCGAGTGCAAAATTTATCCTTAATATTCCATTGTCAAAGAATCAACAAGTAAACAAAGGTCTCTAACTAAAACTAGCTAATTTGTAACATGGATTATTCATAAGGTTATATACAACTGACAGTAACTAGAATAAATATTAAAGACTGTAGTAAACATATATTATAAATGAGGAAACACATACTGTAGAAAAACATTTTTATATTCTGTCTTGTCAGAGAAAGAATACATAGTAAGATTCTCTTATAGTTTCTACTTGTTATATGTATTACAAAATTTGTTGTAATCTTTACTTGTTTTAGTGTTATTAATTTTCTTCTTTTGCTTAAGTTTAAAAAAATAAAGTCAATACTAATATGCATACCTAGTTATATATTTCAATACTTAATAAGAGGAATTATTAGTATAAACTTTTAAAGTAATAGTAAAAATATATACTAACTTAAATAATTGTTTACAAATAAAGTCAACACTTATAAATAGGTAGTAAAATACTAAATCTAAGAATCTTAACAGTTGTAGTTCTTGTTAAGAACTTACTAAATATATAAACATTAATAGTAGAGAATAAAATGATTAAAATTTTTATTAAAATTCTACTCATTATTTGACTCTATTTATATTAATTTGATAAAAATAGTTGTATCAGATTATTAGTAAATTGTAAAAGTAAAAAATTAATTAAGTCTCATGTAACCCAGCTGTGCTCAAGACTCTATAGGATGAAATTTGCTAAAGGAGTACAGTTATCAGCTACACATGTAGGTCAACACTCAAATCCACAACAAACCTAAAGTAGTATTAGTGTAATGAATTTGACATAATCCCTTTCCCCTTTCCAAGACACTGTGCACCGAAAATTAAAGTCATGCAACGGTAAAAATCGACAACCGATGCTAGTGCAGATTGTATCCTGGCAAGGAGGCGTCAATCCGAGGCGAAAGTTCGGAGACAGGCACTTGTACAACATATATTCTTTCCCATTAGGAAATATGTTGATTGAGATGAGGAGGTGTGGAAAACGACTATGTGTGTGGTGCTGACTATGAACTGCACCATACGTAACAAACTCTGTACAGTCGGACACTGATATAAATCAATAAAGCTGTGCATATATGCATGATTGTCCAGTGGTAGAGAAGTCGTAGAGTGTCCGTGAAATTAACGCCACAACTAAATTAAATTAAGAATGAGAGTGTACGCCTTGTGAGGATAAAGAAATACAGAATTAACTATATTTCGAGATGCAACGTACGTGTAGAGTGACGTTAAGAAATGGTAGATGTTGTACAGCTTACTGTACAACAAATACGCACGAGGATCAAAAATATCAGGATCGAGAAAAACGTAGAAGTAAAGAAGTGAGAATAATTTTCGATGTGATGGGGATGGGGGGTGATCATTCAACCTTCACGGTAAAGTAAACGGAAAAGGAAGAGAGATGGAGTCATATATTAGCGCAACACACGCAACTTGCTCATGACCTCGTTCATGTCAGCGACCTTCTCTCCAACGGTAACTAAAGCAGGCTCTCGCTCAGACTTTTTCACACTACCGGCAAGCACGCTTTCGTGAGGTCCAACGAGAGACCTTGCCAAAATGGATCTACGATCTCCAATCGTTAGCGCACGGGCTCCAGGAGCTACCGGCGTCGTGGATCGTGTTGAGTTCTTTCGCCCCAATGTAAAGCCTCCATTGCTGCGTACGGATGCATCTCCCCGTCCACGCGACTGCCTGCCGAGACTGAAACTCACAAGAGCACCCATGCCCAAGCCGAAACTGCTCTGCTTTGTACCAGTATTATTGTTAACATCCCGACGACGGCGCAAGCCTGGGCTCCGAGGGACTGTGAGGCCCGTCCCGAAGCCGAGGCTCCCATAACATCCTGTTGAAGCAATCCCATTGTCCCAGTCATTCGTTGTCGTCGTTGTCGTCATCTTTATCAGTTCCGGCAGTCCTGGGCCGGATTCGCTCGTCATTGACAAGGCTGTTGAAGGTCTCTTAACATCTTCCCCCCTTTCCAGAGGCGTGGATGTTGATGGCGCCGTTAACGGCCGACCAGCATCCACCTCTCGTTGTACGGTCACGCTTACTCGTGTAATCTTGCTATCGTTACCCTTTTCGACAAATTCCCGTTTAAGACTACGAATCGTGTCAAAGGAGCTTGATGATAGCCTCGCGTCTTCCTCTATGCCAGCAGTAACAGGGAAAAGGTCACCATACCCAACACCGAAGAACCGCGCAAGCTTTGCCGCACGTTGACGACGCTCACGGAAGACTGCACCGGGATCCTGTTGCGAACTCGGCGTTGCTGGTGAGGCAGAAGTTGAAGAAGTTGAAGGCGAAGTTTTTGCACGCGATGGACGAGACGACTTCGGCACGTTGGATGACTGACTATAAGGCTCGTGACGAATGGGAGTGGACGAGGGGGGCGTTGTTGGCTCAAAATACTGTGAAAAAGGAGGCGGGGTTTGTGGAAGCGCTGATAATGAGGCGCGTCGACGCGGAGATAGTGGCACGGGCACCTTGAGCCCGTCTTTCGAACTCGGAGTTCGAGCAGTTGTCTCACTCGGTCCAACGATTGAGTCCCTCGGCCTCGGCGTCATGGGTGAAATGGGGGAATCGAATGTTGCCGATTCACGTACGTCTATAAATGACGAGCCTGAAGTCATTATAGAACAAATGGAATGCCTCTTCTATACCCAAGGAAATTAGTATGACATTTCTATCCCAGTTGGCGAACGAATACTCACGAATCGCCCTCCTAATGGCGACCGATTAAATACAACAGGCGATTCGCAGTTCGGGTGCACAGGCAGCAATGAATTCGGCGGTGCTTCTCCAAACACGCTTAACATCTTCTGTGCACGACGTACATTGATCGCCTTCTGCGCATCGCTTAAAGGAATACGATCTTCTGTCTGGTTGAGCTGATCGGCCTTATCGTCCTTCCCTTCCGTGACTATACTCTGTAGCTCCTCCACAGCTGGACCGTTTACCGTCTCGTGCACTGTCTGGATGGCTGGTGCCGACGCAGGATATATACGAACGTTTTCTGACTCCAAGGTCGTGGATGAGCGGGAGATAGCTGAGGACGAATATTTCCGTGTCCGTGATCGCACAGAGCGACTGCGCGTCAAAGTGCGGGTAGGCTTATACCTTGATGGCGCAGAGCCTATTGGGCTCATCACGCCAGACGAACTAGTAGACGGAGCAGACCCAGACGAAGTCGAGCTTTCAGTCAGATCGAGTTGCAGACTCTTGCGCCTTCGCCTCCGCAAGCTCGAAGAACGCGTTGGTGGTTCGATCACCTTCTTTTCCGACGCCCTTCTTTTGATTGCAGAGTTTGGTGGTGTTGTCTCGTAAGATACAAGCACGAAGGGCTCCGTCGATTCGTCAGGGAACACGAGCTCTGGTGGTACATGCTCGCCAAGATGGCGAGAAAGCTTCGCAACCTTCGATCGACGTACCTCGAGCATTTTGTCCCGGCTACTTGCCTCGCTTGCTAACCGAGCTGGGATGGGAGAGATCGGACTTCGCCGAGTGGTCGGACTGAACAAATCGCTTGCCATGGTGGTTGTCGTGGTCGTCGAGACGAAAGAGTGGGTGTCTGCATCAGGAGTTGCTTCATCTAACGAGCCTTGCAATGACCGCTTATTCGTTCCCGAGGTTAAAGCGCAATCTACTTTCAGCACGGGTGGTGTCCGGCCGGGTGCTCGCAAAGGCGTCGTAGAGCGATCATGGACGCTTCCGACGCCATCACGCGTTACGGCCTCCTTTTTCGTCGCTTGACTCGACCGTGTCTGAGTGCTCATACTATTACTTCTTCGGAGACCAACATTGCTACCAACTGAATGTGGAGAGGGCGTAAGGGTGCCAAACTCTGTAGACCTCATGGCACGGAGGGGCGAACTCGACGTATCAGGAGAAGCACACAATACGGGAGTTTCACCGAGAATACTGCCGACTTTACGTGCCGAACGTAAGAGTTTCCTGCGTTCCCGTGGAGAAAGCGTGTTAGTCGACGCGACTGATGCGTCAGCCAAGGTGCCCCCAGACGTTGCACTTGAACTCTGAACAGGTGGCTTGCTTGTTGTCGTAACTGGTGCCCCAGCTAAGACACGAGGAGAAATAGCTGTGTAGGTGAGATGCGACTGACAGCTGCTCGTGCTCGATTTTGGTGAAGACGATGTAGTAGATCGACTGTGCGATCTAAGGAGCGCAATCATCTCTTCTTTGGATGTTATGGAATTATTTTCGGATCTGGTTTGTCTGTGGCTGTCGTGAAAGCGAGGGATGTGCGACAGAGAGCGTGAAGTGAAATCGGAGCGCAGATGCCTTGTTCTGGGGTTTATGTCCTGCTGAGGATCTAAGCTAGCCATAACTGCGACGACTGATGAGGCCGACGTTGCCTGATTGAACGTGCTATCATGATACATCTCTCCGAGCAACAATCTTCTGCTCGACTCACGCTGGGAAGATTAGAGGGTGTGCTGGGCCGTCCTATAGCGGGGAGTATCAGTGACTGTCGGCGGGACGACGATCAACAGAGTTAGGATCGCACGACCGAGCAGTACATACAGCGACGACCAGAACAAGAGCGGGGTCTTTAGGCGCGACCGCAGCGGGTGCCTGCAAGAGTTCCTTTAAATATGATCATGTTTAATAGACGTACGCCGGATAGGTGAGATCGTGTAGTTTCTCCTTGGAGATACCCGCGTTTCATTCGCGCGAAAGTGCCACGTTGTCCGCATTAGGAAAGCATTACAAATGCGGACGCTGGTTTTTGAACTCACTGCAGCCGCGCATTGAATAAAGAAGCGTATTGCGTCGATAGTGCATGATCCTATCTCGCTGAAAATAAGACCAAGGTGGCTGAATGCCTGCGACGCTTCACATGGCAACGGGCTTCCGGATGTGAGGGTGAGAGAGTCACAGGTTACGCCGACCAATGCATTTCAAGCGATAGTTCATCACAATCATCTTGATGATCTATCCCGCATGAGCGCAATCCACGACAGCCTTCTCCACTCGCCCTGCAGAACAAAACGAACCAGGGCAGACTGCATTACAGTATCATGTCACCTCCGAGATTGATGAGCTTTCCTTTGCAAAACTTTGACGTCGCTTCATGACAGCATCGGCCTATGACTAAATTCGACGGCATCCCGAAGGACGCGGAATGGGCGAGTTTCACCCGTTGGTGCACTGGTTCACTGCTTGGAAACGGACCTTCGGGACCGGGACACTCCAGCTGCATTCCAATGTCCCCTGCAGCCCTGCATGGTATTTGGAGCATCGTAATTCAGAATCAACCATGATCAAATCACAGGTTACAAGACCACCGATAGGGGCCGAAGTTGTGACAGAACAAAACAAATGTCGGAACGGCCCCGACAGCGCGTGATACACTGAGTGACCGTTCACCCCTGGTATCAGTGGATAGATGAGACGCGCAAGATGTCATCGCCACTGTACGTTTTTTCGCCTTCCAAAACGCGACTTCGGTGATAAAGTGCGTGTAGTCGCAATCCGCTAAAGCGCCGACCAAGGCTCATACTCACTCGGGGGCTTCGAAATGATACACCGCAAGTAAAGCGAGGAGTAATAAGCGAGGAGTTGATAAATCGCGTCTTCCAAATCGCCGTTTGTAAGTCGGTAGACACATTCTTGCCGTCTAAATCGCATAGGCAATTCGTCAGAGGGCATCAATGAACGAAGCAAGGAAGCCCAAGGAGGTTACCGTACCACAACAAGTGAGATGAACTGGTATGCTCCAGAAGGCTAAAGCGATTGACCCTGGTATCTTGGCTCCGATACGGAGGCAGAAGACACCACCATGCCCAGTTACGTTATAGTCAATGCACGAGAAGCCGCCCATCATTGTGCGTATCAGCCAAGTTTTCGACATGAACAGGTCCATTGGTTTATGAAAAAGTGTCGGTGCCTAGTGTATAGAGAGATAGTTAATCCGATGCTTTTGGATGGTCCCCACAGCCTTCATAAAACGAATTGATGATCATGATGGTGCAGTGCAGGCGATCTCGCACATCGCTCCAGGTCGCTTTGCCGAGCCGATCCGGCAGTTCATACAGATCCTTTATGACCGAGGATAATATTGTGCAGAGGCTCGAAGAAGGCACTTTTTATGGGAAGCATAAACGTAGGGTACCATCAACACATCATTGGTCGTGTATATTTCATAGTTATTTCTATTTATGCAATGGTTACCACGTGATCGTATTCATGCCCTTGGATCGTATCAATGCATGTATCACTATCTATCATCGTTGTCACTTGCAACTTTCATCTATGACCGACTCGACTTCGATTCCAATACACGGAAACTATCGCGGGTTCGTGAGTATCTCAGTAAACTTACTGTCAAGAATCGGTCTGCTCATATCTCATACTGCTTATCTTTCTCATCACTGTGATGCTTCTTCCGTCGGAAATGAAGGTATTACACCAAACGCCCTTCATTTTGTGACTCGCGGCTCTCATTAATAGCAAAGGACGTATTCAATGGCGCACGCGTGCTCGACGTCGGGTGTAATGAGGGCTGGGTGACATGCGAAATCGGTAATCTTCTCTCTGTCCTCAATGTTACTGAGATAGAAATGCTGACTCCAGCTAAATGTAATAGCACAACATCTCGGCGCAAGGGAAGTTGTAGGCGTAGATATTGACGACAGCCTAATACGCTCCGCCTGGAAGCGACGCCGCACGGTCTGGAGCCAATCGCCGGAATATCCCACTCTCGACCCCACACATACTCATCTACCTCTCAAGAAACTAGAATCCACTCATGACTCGAAAGCATCAGGCGAAGAAAACTACGAAGCAAAGCGTTTGTTTCCCATAGCATTCGAGCACATGTTCGGTTCTCTTCCCATACCGCCTGCTGACTCAATAGAAGAACGAATACACTTCCCACACAATGTAGTCTTCCGATGCACTGATTGGCCTAAGGATGGAGCGGTTGAAGACCGAGATGGGTACGACGCCGTCCTAGCGTAAGTGTGGATGCTCCTTTGTCTCGTATCTCCTGCCTTATATTATTTGTTCATCAATCTTCGTAATGAAAATATCGAATGAAAATGCCGGATGAAGATTATCAATCTCGAAATGGATCCATCTCAACGGCGGAGATGATGGCATACTCGCATTTTTCCAAAGGGCGTTTTCTGTCCTGAGAACTGGGGGTTCCTTCATACTGGAACCCCAAGAATGGGAATCATACCATAAGGCAAAGCGAATGGATCCTGTATGACTCTTTCATTTCTATCATTCTAATCCTAAGTATCTGATGGTCTATTCGTTCTCGTGAATAGAAACTCAGAAAGAATGCGGAATTACTCCGGCTTCGTCCATCTGACTTCGAAGGGGTGCTAATGAAGATTGGATTCCGCTCTGTTGAGCACCTCAAAAATCCTGGAAACGGTGGTACGTTCTCCAGACTTCACTGAATACCCAACAAAGTCGTAACACGCATGCTACATTTACAGGATTCCAGCGAGGCTTAGACCTTTATCGCAAATAAACCTTATCTTGGATCTCGAACAGACATTGTTAAGTTCTTGCACGTTGACGAAGGAACGACTCTTTAGTTTACAAGGTTGAATCTACGATAAAATCCTCTTCGGGTATCAAGACGTATTTTTTTGTCCATCAAAGTAGCCCATACCATACTCATTTAAAACCCGCCCGTACCCCTCACCCTCCTAATAGCGCCAGCAATGCCCTTCAGCCCACCAAAGGGCCCGCTCTGTTTAACTCCGCTCGACTCTACGACCCTCCCCGACCCATCTGCAGCTCGCCAAACCCCGTCTTTTGCATCCACCAACCCAAATTTCTCTGTATTCTGATTCGCATTGAGCGCTATAATCCATTCACGAGCGAGTTCCGCAGAATCGATCAGAACGTTGATTTCCTGGCTGTGGAACCATGATTGCGTGTCTTGATTCCCGTTTCCAAGCATCACAACTTGCGAATCGACGGACATAAATTTAACTTCCAAGACAAAATGCAATTTGTTACTATGTGGAAACGACGGAAGGACGACGGTCTTACCGTGGCAATTTCTCGACTTCCTTGTTGCGCTCATTGGTTCTTTCTGGTCCTTTGCTGTGTACCAGTAAACTTTCAAGTTCTCCTGTTTGCCCTCCTTATTGAGCGTGTTGTACATGCTATGCACGACTTGCTCGTTTGTCCCTCCCTGGAATGGTATCATCTCACCAAGGTCATTGAAACCTGACCAATCAAGGATTCAGTATTAATCGAAGATGCATTGTTGGCGAAAATAGCACGAACCAAGGTCCAGGTACAACGTAACTTGTACGCCTCGCCGACAAGCATCGAGAGTGGCCGGGATGACCGGGGCGGCGTTGAACGTTGGTGATTGGCTGTGGTAAAATGTCAGTACGTGTCGGAAATCTAGCGAATGGACACAGGAATGACGCACATGAAAATTGACTCTTTCGCGTGCTTGAACAAACTGATCCATGCCACGTTCTGTGGTATCTCGTCCACGCTTTCGTGGCCAGGTGCTGAAGTTGCATATATCAGAATAAAGATTTAAGGCTAGATGGAGAAGAACTCACTCCCTTTCGGTGCACGGTTCACCATTGCCATTGGGACAGGTCTGTGTGAGGCATGCATAACATGAGGTCGAAACTCGTCCATACTCTCGTCATCATCTGCCGTACCCTGTTCATGGAGAGTCGCAGCGTTAAGGTGTTTCGTGATGGCTTCTACACGTCTCGAACTTGTACTGGAGCTAGTTTCTTCTGATTTGAGAATCTCAGGACCATCAGTAACACGGTCGAGAGTCGACTGGTTAGATACATCGTTGGTTGTTCCTTGTGTGTTCGAAGTGGCCATCGGTCTGGCTTGCCGTTCCTCTAGGTCCGGTTCCTGCTTGTCGCTTTCTCTGGTATCCTTATCACCGTCTTCGATGTTCCTTTCCCTATCCTGTCTCTTCTCCAAATCTTCATCTGCTTCGGATGCGTCATTGTTATTTGCGCTCGAACCATCCGGGAAGTTCATTGCCGGATGCTCCGCCACTAGCTCGTCTTTACCATGCACACCCGTATCACCACCGTGAATTCCGGCGGCAGCGCGCACGACATGTCCGACGATTGATCCGTCTGCGCGTTGGGTAGCGCCCCGCTTATCTTTGCCTGGACCTTCGACTTCTTGTGCCTCGCGTTCGTATTGCTTCGCGAGGAGCGCACGCGCAGCTACTCCCGCATACTGCGTATCAATGTCTACGGGGGGAAAGTGATGGATTAACTATCGGGAAGAAAAGAGGATAACAACGCAAGCATACACTTCAAGTGTTCGTTCTCCTCTCCGAACTTATAATCATCCCTCTGAGGTGGTGGGTGTGCGAGAAGCGGCAATGATGGTTCCATCTTATTGGCCCAAGAAAACAACCCCGCATCGTAAAAGCTCTCAACAATCGGGCCCTCGAAATGTACACACATCTCAACGTTCGGCCGGTCCTGAATATTATTGCTATTCACGCAAGCAACTTTCCGATCAACCACGATATATTTCGCATGGAACGTCCCGAGCGGTGGACGGTGGTAATTCAGCACTTCCATTCGTAGACCGCTAAGGTCTTCGACACGCGGGAGACCGACGCTCTCCCATTTATTGGTTGGCACAGCAGCGTGGTTCTGAAAGAGCTGTTCTGGCGTTCCACGGTCGTACACCAACTTCACTACTACTTTCTGCTCGTCCTTCCTCCCTTCCTCAATGCACCTCTTTGACAATGCACGAAGTGCATCAGATACGAGGCTAGCGGAGTGAGAGTCTTCCCAGTAGTTCGTCGCGAGAAACACCTCGTGATGGGCACGAGCTATGAGATCTGCGTAATGACGCATTATGTCTGGTATGACGGATATGATGGAGAGTGGGATGACTCCTGAGGAGCCGATGAGTGAGGGTGAGACGAGGTTGGCAAAAGGGTCATTAGAGATGGAGTCGAGAACGTCAGCATATACCTGGTCATGATCATTTTAATATATTGAAGATAACAAGTAGGAAAGGGAGTAAGACGCACTTCAAGGAATAAGTCAGATGGTCTGTTAGGAAACTTTCCGCACGAAGCAGCCCTATCTAATCTATCCTGCTCTTTCCTCTCCCCAGACTTGCTCCCATTCTTGCCACGTTTATCCTTCCATTCCTTTCTTAAACCCTTTATGACATCGCTCGCAGCTCTGCTCGGGTCTTTTGCGAGCTCTTCAGCAATGGTCGGTGCAGACTGGCACAGGTCGACGACATGTTCAGTTGTCATCCTTGTCTCCGTACTGTAATTGGTGTTACCGGTCTTGACTATGGAGGAGGAGAAACGTAAAGCAGTATTGAGTGGACCTAGGCAACCTGGGATATATACCATGCCATCATTACAGTGGGACGCACTAATGCACCGCAGTCCTTAGAGTGGATACATGAGACAGACTTATGACGTACATTTATGGTTCCTTAGCGCCTGAAGCTTATTATAATTAGATCAGGCACGTATACCGTAAATATAATTTAAAAAGATTCAGTTGGAAAATCATGGGATAAATTGGGGATAAGAGCTTCAGGCATACTAAAGCTTGCGAGCGAGCAATTTAAGGGTACCGAATGGCACGGTAAAATTCAGCGGACGGTCAATCTGGCCTGCCATGAGGTATACTGCGCAGCACTTTTGTTCGAGACCGGCCGATCGGTCGCAACGGGAGGTACTACTACTTTGTACGTACGATATCATTGGAGCATTGAATAGAACTGAAAATAGCACTAGACGTCACTGTGCGCGCATATATGCCAGATGAAATGGAGATCTAAATTTACACATGTAATATTAATACATTCCATACAACACGGACATCATGATACAGTATCAAAGCATACAGTAATACAATGCTGATACAAGTGTGCACATTCACGCAGTAATAGCCAAACTAAAATCCCCAGTAACCTTCCTCGATGTCCCCGTTCGCACCCATTTCTCATAATTAAACGTCCCTCCTGTTCCTCCCGTTGTACTAACAGTACCACCAGGTATGTGTCCAGCACCGCCAGCACCGCTGCCAACACTACCACCGACAGAGACAACGACCCCTCCCAAACCGGTTTCTCGTCGACCATGTGGCTCCACGCTTTCACGAAAGAGCACATCAACAACACTTGGGGTCGCAAGTTGCACGTGCCTCACGAAGGCCTCGTCCGGAGGTGCGATGTCCCAGTCTGGTCTATCACCTGCAGCTGTCAACACCGCCTTTGCATACACCTCGCGCTCCTGTCGTGACGGATACTTGGACTCTTCTTCCAACAGAGTTTGATATTGGTTTATGTATCTGAACATATCAAATTGAGGACGAGGGAAAAGGAAAAGAAAGAAAGAGAGATATAACGTACTCTTCGTACTGCTCTAACTCATTGTCCGACACCTTCGGGTTCATGAGCTGACGTACAATATACTCAGTTGTATTCTTCTCTCCAGGCTCCGGCTCGCGTGCTGCATGTTTTGCTTCATGCTTATGCACAGGCTTCCTGTATGATTTGTGAAGGCTCGAAGGAGGCTGCGCGCCCATCCATCTTCGTACGCCTTGCATAAGCCTATATAGGACCGTCATCCAGTCAACATTTAACAGACGCGAAAGAATATGAATACGAACCCAGGTTGCATAATCGCATGATTTGCATTAAATGGACTGTGAATGATATCCTTCGCAGTTTTCCTAAAGAAATGTGAGCCAAAAACTTGTCTTTTCAATCAATGGAAGACAACCTACCCTGGAAGCTTCAAGGTACTATTCATCGAATACGCAAAGTGCTTCCCTAAGCTAGTGAATAACAACGGTCGGTAATACTCGATCCAGAAATCCGCCCGATGTTCCGCAAACTCTTTCAATCCCTTTTCGCACTCCTCTAAACGGTATGCAGGCTCTAGGTGCAGTGGATTAAACCACGCACGATACCCACCCCTTTTTGGCGGATGCGTTATCGTCCTTTCGCTCTGTACACCCAAGAAAAGATCGATAGCAGCTTGCTTTTCCGGGTCTAACACCGCGTTCGTGTAGAATCGACGAATGTTCTCGATGATATCTCGAGAGTGGCTGTTCCAGTGCGGCATCCTTCGGTACGTCTCCACCCGGTTCACCAATGCGCTCCCCGTATACTGTAGCGCGAGTGTATCTCCGTGGTCGTGGTACATTTCAGTCAACATATTCACAGCGTCGGAATCAAAAGAAAGGTTGGGGCTATCCACTATCCCAAGCGCATATAGTTGATGACCGAGGACGCGTTTACCGAATACAAACTGCGCGGCGTTCGTGCGATCAAGGCAGTCAACGCAATTTGTGCGGCAAATACCATTCTGCAAGGAAATCGTTGAACGATACGGAATGAAGTCGTTTCGCATTTGATGTGCCGCAGGCTCTGGTCCAGAATGAAAGAAGCCTGTCAAATGGATCGCCTCCTCTGCTATATCCTCTAGATAGCTAATAACGTCTTGCGTTTTCCTGTCTTGCGTGAGTATAGGAAAGCGGAAAATGCAGATATCGCTTACTCCTTGTATGCCCGCGACATATCCCAAGCGCGGTAAATCATCTTCTTGCCCTCTGGCAGAAAATGATTAAGATACTGGACACACTGAGTGTACTCGTCAAGCAGTTTGCTCTCCCGTGGTACTGGTTCGCGCCTTTTGATGAGATTAAGGATCATGATTGGAGTGCCATATCTATAAAAAAGGTTGTCGAAATGTAAAGCTGCAGGCGTGAAGAAAGGGTCTACGACGCTGACTTCAAGAGCATCAGTCAGTAATTTATTTCCGGTGATAAGAGTTTCTTGGACGTACTATCAATCGGAGGCCTCGGTGTCATTGCGTTCGTTTCCTGTGTCCAATACACTGGAATACTCCCACGATACTGGAGAAATATGAGTGAAATCCAAGCAGTAGATCATATCGTGACTTACCTGCACATAGCTAGTGTATTTCGGGCTCGGGGCTCGACGGCTTGACCTTGGCTGGTCAGGGTTGAGGTCCCGCGGGGCGGGGAAATAAAAAGGCGTAGTCAGAGCCTCGGAGACAATCTGCTCCGTCTCCACTTCATTTGCAACATTGCCTTCGTCATTAACGCCGCGCTTCAAGTATCGGGCACCAGCGAAATGGCGAGATCGACGGGCTATGAGCGTGATGAAGACCACTCGTCCCATGACGGTGAGCTCTAAGCCTGCATAAGCCAAGAATTCCTCTATCTAGAGACACCTGAGCAATACGCACTGGCTTGGTCAACATGACCGTGTACCAAAGGGAGGATCCAGTGAGGTTTTATAGGTCCTTCTTCGCGCTTTGCGAACGGTGCTGTAATCATATGGTAGTTCCAGGCAAAGCGGTCGTTGAACGTCCATTTATCAGAATCTTCAGCTGAAACGGGCATCGTCAAATTTCGTTGAAGAGTGGACGTCAAGTCGTAAGTATAACTTCATGTAAAGTCAGTTTCTACGTCTTGGATTGCGTATCAATTACCAGCATACCTGAAGTAGAAGTTCTTGGACATATCAACTTGCTTGAATGTGTTTATGAAGCGCTGCTCTTCCGCAGGCTTATCGACCTTTTGGTTAAAGCAGATGGGTATCATGTCGGTGTTCTCGCAGTGGTATAAATAGTGTCCTCCCAGCAATGCCACAACTGAACGCTTAGAAATGACAATCATGTACCAGCCAGCTGTGAACTTGATAAAGCCTGAAATTTAGGTTAGGGAACAATATAATTCGGTTATGAACTGAATAAATACCCGCAACACCAAATATAACTCTCGCTTTTCCTAAACCACCACTCGTCTTATTCCCGTCTTCTAGCATCTTCAACACATTGCTCATCTGCCTGCCGGTATAAATCGTATCATCCTCCTGAACGATCAGTTGATCTTGTGATGTTCGATCGATCTTCATAATCCGGTGGCGTGAGTCGGACGTATTGGACGCAACGAGGAAGAACCGAGTCCGATTTTCATACAGGATGAATTTGTTCAATGCAAGTGGTCCCTTTTGTGCTTGGGGTGGCGGAACGTAAGATAAAGAGGGCCGAGGGCCCATTGTAGGGGTCGCATTTGCGCTTGTCTTCCTCGACGCGCGAGAGTGGAAAGAAGGAGCCGGTTCAGTCTTTGGAGAAGGCGGCACTGAGGCTGTTGTCACTGTCGGACTGGCACTGCCGCTGTGCAGACTTGGAGGACCATCCGGGAGACGAAGTGAACCCGGTTTGTCCCGATCTGAACTTTCCATGCTGTCAATCAAGAAAGCACTTGTATTCTGTTACTCATGAAGCTTTTCCGTTGAAGAGTAGTACAATCCTGGTTGGTGGTGTAGAAGAACGAGGTGCTATTGACGCACCAGGACTCCTAACGCGACACGTGCCATGACATAAACGATCGACGTTTCCCAAATCGGACACCGCGAAATCTAACAACTTGCGCCAGTGTATCTTGCTTTTGCTCACCTCTCTATAATTTCCACAAAATGTCTCTAGAAGCAGTACCACTTCCGCCTCTTGAGTCAATTGCACGGACAAGCACAAAGCGTACGCATGCAATCTTTGCTGCTACTAGTAATGCTCCTGAAGGTGATGAGAAAAGGTTCGTCTTTCAGTCTGGCGTACAGTCTCAAGTCGCTGACACGATTGCTCCTACTATCTAGTGCAAAATTACGATTAAGCGTGAAGATCAACGATGAATACAAAGATTACAAGCAACTTCCTACTGCTCTCATTTCTCAGCAAGCCCCAGTGGGTCCAGCACGACCGAAGCAGGAGCGGAAGATGATCGAGGCTGCTCGTACGTGTATCCTTTCGCTCTCAATACTGTCATTCCAGACTCAACGCTTTTCATGAAACATAGCATCATCAGACACCTCACGAATGATAGCAAAGATAGACCCAACCCCACAAGTTCAACCATCCACCCTCGCCTCACACAGCACACTCTCAAAAGCGCTCACCCTGCACAAAACAACACGCTCCATCAAGCCCGTATACCACCCGCAATGGAAGCTCATGCGCGTCATCTCGGGACACTTGGGCTGGGTCCGTTCAGTCGCCGTGGAACCAGGGAACAAGTGGTTCGCTACTGGTGCGGGCGACCGTGTCATTAAGATTTGGGACTTGGCGTCTGGTGAGCTGAAGCTGAGTTTGACGGGACATATCTCGACTGTACGAGGTCTGGCTGTATCGCCCAGACATCCATATCTCTTTTCTTGCGGAGAAGACAAGGTATGCTACAAGTCAATTCTTTTTCCGAGAACACGTTTCTTACTGACGACTATGTAGATGGTAAAATGCTGGGACCTCGAAGTCAACAAAGTCATCCGACACTACCACGGACACCTCTCCGGCGTCTACAGCCTCAGCCTCCACCCAACACTCGACGTACTCGTCACAGCCGGCCGCGACGCCTCCGCACGCGTCTGGGACATGCGCACCAAAGCCTCCATACACGTCCTCGCAGGCCACACCGCAACCGTCGCCGACGTCAAATGCCAAGAAAGTGATCCACAAGTCATCACAGGTAGCATGGACACCACTGTCCGCCTTTGGGACCTCGCAGCAGGCAAAACGATGACGACACTCACACATCATAAGAAGAGCGTACGCGCACTTGCGATTCACCCTACTGAGTACTCGTTCGCGAGTGCCTCGGCGGGTGGGAATAATATTAAGAAATGGAAATGCCCTGAGGGAACTTTCGTGTTTAACTTCTCTGGTCAGAACGCAATTATCAATACTTTATCCGTAAACTCGGAAGGAGTTCTCTTCTCTGGCGGTCAGTCTGAATTACATCCAACTCTTTTCCATAGCCTTACTTATTTTATTTGTGGATAGGCGATAACGGTTCCATCACATTGTGGGACTACAACAGCGGTACAGCGTTCCAAAGCATGGACGACATCCCCCAACCAGGTTCACTCGAAGCAGAAGCAGGCGTGTTCTGCTCAACATTCGACATGACTGGCACGCGCCTGATCACCGGCTGCGCAGACAAAACGATCAAAGTACGTTCATACACCAATACTCGCAACACAAATACATGCTTAACACTTTCTTATTCTAGATTTACGCAGAGCAAAGTTAGGCGTAACCTAGAGATTCACCTCTCTATCGTCGGCCTTTCGCTTTGCTCGCATTTTGCATCGTGTAAATTTATTGTAGCATTTGTTTAGTAATTTTTTATTTTTGATCTACTGTCTCAACTATTTTACTTCGGCCACGCTCAAAAGTGACGGAACGCAATGAAGGAAACTACATAAAGAGAGTGGAAAGTATACACGAAAAATAGATTAAGACGAGAAAAGTGAGGATAAAAGAAAGTGAAAGGGTAAGGAAGTTCTCAAAGCACGCCAGGTACAAAGCACTGGGCAGGGGATGAAAGATATGAAAAACGAAAGCGAATGGATGGGAAAGGCTGGAGAGGAATTAAGAGAATTTCCACCGATGATTGCAGTTGACGCATCTAAAAACAAAACATTCAGTATGCTATGTTCAACAGCCAAGCCGAGGTGAAACACATACGTTACAAAGGTCTACATAGCACACCCAGATTACCAAATTAAATTTTTAAAAGACCACAGTCAGTAAATGGCATCAGAGTATTTGTCAAATATACAACGTTAAAACATACCGTCATCGGTTCATCCGCACTCCTCGTCTGGGCTTGACGATAACGCGTCTTCCTCTGCTTGCACTTCCCACACTGGAACGCATCCGTCTCTGCCTGCTGTTCCTCCGCACCAAGGGATTTGTAAAAGTTTTCTTCCTGTATAGCTTTATCTGCTGCTTTCCTCTCTTCTGATGCCATTTCCTACAGTTATACACATTGCGATTTGAGTATCTTAGAAACAGGGGTAAGGGTTAGTGGAGAAAGACTTACCTGACTCGACATTCTGCAGAACTTCGCTACCTCAAGCTCGCCACTAACGATATTTGCACGCAGACCAGGGTTGTTCTTGTCCTTCAAGTTCAAGAACAACGAACGAATCTTTCCCTTGTACTCTTTGCCGGTGTCATTATTGTGGTCTTCCAGCACAGTAGATTCTATAGCTGTTGCTCGTTTCAGAATAAGGTCTGAGGCTAATGATACGGAGAAAAAATTAGGTGTAAGTAAGGTCGTGTGATAGGCCTGCTGAGGTTTGAAGAGACGTACGAGCCGCAGAATCAAGGACAAGCGAGTCGTAAATCAACTCGATGCACTTGTCTCTAGTCTTGTCTTTGGTGACATTAATGACGACTCCATCCGTCTTACTAGAGCGCGCGAAAGACGATCCAGTGGGTGTCGTTGGCGACCCGACAGACTCCGCCACAGAAGCCTTGCGCACAGCTAAGCAAACGACATCAATACAGAGCATCACAGAAGAAATAACAAAAAAATGAGAGGACGCACGAATTGGTTTGGCAACAGCGTTATGATGAGTGGCAGGACCAGAGGAACCCTTCGACCCTCCAACCTCATTCTTCCACTTCTTCACCAGCTCCTTGGCCAAGTCTGCGACCTCCTTCGATACGTTCGACCTCAGCTTTCCCACTGCCAATCCAATCCTACTCTCCTATATTCGTGCATGCGTATCGAGATTGAGTCGCGCAAATAATTATTTTGATGAACATTAGATGCGCAGTCAGTCCATGGTGCCGCCAGAGGAACGTGTGTGAAAAGCCCACGTACCCTAAGAAGAGACTCGCTAGCAACGACATCCTTCTTCAAGAGATGCAGAATATCAATCGTTTCCTAAGAGACATCAAAATAAAACTGACATCAGTACACATATACCAGACCCAAAAAATCAAAATGAAAGGGATTATCTAGGGGGAAAAGAAGTAACAACACACTTTAGGACTACCACCCGATTGGAGGTCTTTCGCAAGCTTTCTCAACTCTGCGACGTCAAGCATTTCTTCGCTGGGACGCCCTTTCGATCAATATTGATGCCTACACTAGCTATGTGCTTAAGTATGTAGCTACGGTACAAGTGTGGCACCCTCCGGACGACGACTGCTCAGTGCTCATTGCAGAGTGCCAAATAATCTTTTTTGTCTCTTCTTTCAATGCCCAGCGAGCGTGGGAAATTTGATGAGGTGGCGACGGCTGAATATTCGTCGCTACTCTCTTACAAAGCGCATACATGCATTCATATTGTCATTAAAAGTTAAAACAAAGCAGTGGCTAGATAGAAACGATCTTGAATTGTTCTTTCTCGCTGAAGGGCGCAAAATGCACCCCCCCTTCCAACAGACTTATCCTAATATGCCGGCATTGTCGGGTGGAGTGGCTTCTGCTTGTCAGCACGTCCACCAAACCTCCAATGAACTTATTTGAATTTTTTAAGCTCTTATAGTACGCGACAAAATTCAAGAATCAACAAAGGCTGTTGCAACACACGGAAACCTTTCACGAACGTGTAACAGATGGCTGGGAAAAGGTAGATGAACGAAAGCGATAATAGAAACAAGCAAGGAAAGACCAAATCAGAGAAGATCATGCACGGCCTCCGACCTCTGAAAGGCAGAGAAGCGATATATCAGATGCGTATTCTATGAATTCAGGACAAAGAAAGTACGAACGTTCAACCATTACATCAATTGTATCTGGAAAAGCAAAAATAGAAACATTAGTTTGAGGTACACAGTCTAGCCACGCCACGAAACCCACCGTTCTCTTCCATATCCAAGCTCGCAGGCGTGTCATCTTCGTTGATACGTTCACCATCGTACAAAAATCTAAGAAAATCCAGCACAAAGAAGAACAAAATTAGCAAATATATCCACAAAAGCGCTGCCATGTCCACGTCCAAGGACGAAGTGGCTAACAAAAAAGCCACCAGGATAAACAGAATGAACCACAACGTACCGAATCGTGCTAACTTCCTTCCCTATTTTATGTGCATACGCCGTTTGTAGTTTGCTTAGCTTTGTGCTTCGCTTGATCTTGAAGTACACTTCTTCGCCCTGCGCTGACAACACCTAAAGTCGTCGCCAACAGCATGACGCGTTCATTGTCAGTCATTGCTTTCTCCGAACGAGCGGTCTTCAACGAATTGGTTGAAGGGTAAAGACATACCTTGATGTTTATAGGAGCATTGGCGTCCTCAACCTTTGGTGCAACCTCTTCCTGCTCTTCGTGAGCGATAGGTGGAGCTACCTCTCCGTCAGACATTATGATCGCGTATCACAGTCGTTCCAAGGTCTCGGGTGAACAAATAGAACACAAATTACGTAGACCGCGTTTTTCTTCAAGATATTGTGTACAAGGTGCCAGAGATAGGAAACGCGAAGGAAAGAGACAAAGCTTGTTGTTTGAGCAGAACGGTAGACACTGTTTGAGTTTTTGGAGAATCGAGATCGGTCTTCGGGGGCGTTCTTGATGATGATTTCTTATTTTGGAAGCCGCTTACTCCTCGTGGCCAAAATATCGTCATCCTCAGTGACCTGTCTGTCAACTGTCTGAATATTTTGTCCCAAGCAATTGCTGGTACTACGTGGATGTACACGAGAGGTACGATACCCAGGAGTATTCTAACATCTCCGTTGCTTTATGCAGCCTCAGATACCGTTATTCTGCCACACAGGTTTCAAAACATAGGCAACACGGGTTGTCAGATTACCGACCAACAAGAGGCTGGCTTCTCAGTAATATCCACTCTGGTGGTGCTTCTTGGGCGCAAAACCCACTATCCTATAATTCTATCGTAGTAGAACTTTCGGATCTCTGACCGCTCAAATACATTCTATACTGATATCAGTATCATGAACTAATGCTATCAGATCAAGCGGTCCGCGAAATCGCCATACTGCGAACTTGAACTTTATTACTGGAAAGTATCAATACATGCATATCGCCATGATAGGCGCAGCGCGAGCTATGTGCATGCGTGACTCTATCTATCCTCCTTGTGGATGAACTTTTGGATACGTTGACGCTATCAGGCGTCGTCTCTCAATGAACTTCAAGACTTATGATTAGCTATCATTTGAGCAGACTTCTAATCCTAGACACCTGATTCTTCAGTTTCTTTGACGTCAACGTCGGCTTTGGCTTTTCCTTCTGCTCAGGATACTTCTCTTTCTATATCCTTCTTCAAGATCCTTGTTTCTTGAGGTTAGATCCACCTGGGTCTGTCGGACCTGTCTATAAACCTGATTTAACTCGGATTCCGCAGTACTTAACGTAGCAGTATCTGCTTTCGGCGCTCTTTCCAGGTCTGAGACCGTACCTCTTCCAACTTTAGGTAGGGTATATTGACTTCTTTCGATTGGGACTGACAATCATTACTGGTAGACTGTTGCAAGTTGCAAGCCCTCTTCAACAAATCAAGCGCTTCTTTCACAGCATTGAAATACCTGGCGTTCAATAACTTCAAGGTATAATGATAGAATTACCTAGGCCATCCTGCCTCTGGACCTTTCTGGTCACTTCCTCTTCGAGTCTCTCCAAATCCATACTGCTCAGCAGCCTCCAGTCCTTTGTATGCCTCTTACACTTTAGACACCATATCCTGCCATTCCCAGTACGTTGGACGGAAACCATTTGCCCACCCCTCGACACTTTCATCCTACTTACTGTTAGCCATATTCTCTATGTGTTCATCCCACTTCTTAATGACAGCTTCATTGCCTTGGCCCACAGCTGAACTATACTGAAGGTTCGAGTAGAGATACCCTGGCTTGTAGATACTGGAGCAAATCGCTCGCTTGACTAGACCTATCACCCACCCAACCCACGTTGTTCCTTACTTCGTCTACGGCGCACAGCCATTCTCCCACGTCGTCACCGCTCACAAGTGTCTTTTTTCTTCTGTACTTTTCTGATGGAGTCTCCTCTCGTGTGTTCTTTCTTGAAGTGCTTGAATCTCTCTTATGGTGCGGATGCCACATATGGACATTGTATATGAACTTGGTTGATACTGAGTACGTGAACGGTGCACTATTGAAGCACAGAGAATTCAAAGAAATGTGAATGCCCTTCTTATAAGAATCAAAAATGATGCACTTTGCTCTGAGCAGTCTAAAGATTGCAGCATAAACTTTTGGATCTAATTAAGCCATCACAAAACCCTGCATTTTCTTACATGAAATAGGACAAACTGTGCAATTCATCAGAAGAAATAATTTCAGTTGTTTATAACAAGCACACAGTTGAACAGTCTGACTGATTTCAACACAGTAGGAAAGTAATATGCACTAGATTATCAAAAAGGATGAGGCAATGATTTAGAACTACAATAGCTTGCAAAGCTTTGTTGATTATAACATTGATTTACAAGTCAGAGAGTATCAATTATCAATGATACTACTGTAGCAGTGTTAAATTGTACAAAGTACTAAATGATCCCAGTGCAGCTGGAAATAGCAGAATCCAATCAAAGAGAAGTTTGCATTCTAATGTCTATATATAATACAGGGAGATGCAACATCTCAAACACAATGTATGTCTGCCTTGAATTGAACACATGGAAGCCTTACGGCTGTACAGTAAGTAAGGAGGCTCCTCTGCACTGACAGTAATGATATCTCAATCAACCATCTTTGAGCAATGGTCTTGTACCCCTTTTCTTCATGAGCTTTTGGATACATGTACAGAAAGACGATTTCCCCTCCATTCTTGTCCACGCTAAACAGTATATAATACAACTCTGCCTTTTCGTTTTGTTTGTTTCGTTTAGTGTAGTGTCCTTTAATGAAGTTCAGCTTGTTTACAGTCTACGCTTCTGTTATCCCTTCGTCCATCAACATCGCAAGAAGACAAACACTGTAGAAAGGAAAAGGAATCCCAGCTTGCCTCTACAAAAGCTCTACAATCACCTCGCCATTCACAACCTCTACCTGAATCACAGTGTGCGTCTGCACGTACTCAACGCATCGTCACGAGCTCCTCACCAGAGGTGGGGTGGATCGCAACCGTATCGTCGAAATCCTTCTTTGTCGCTACAAGCATCATAAACAAACGAAAAGAGAAACGAGTCAGTAAGAGACCTTCGAGGGCAAAAAGCATTCTTTTGCTTACCACCCATCTTGACGGCAACTCCAAATCCTTGGGTGATCTCGTCACTTCCAAGACCGATGATGTGCATACCTACCACGCGCTCCTCTTCACCAACGCAGACGAGTTTGTACACGGACGGTTCCTTGTGTGCTTCGTCAAGCATGCTGAAGTACAGAGCGCGGAAGGAGGATTTGTCTATAATCCAAATCATCGTCAACAATCTCGCCTTATGAAACGAAAATAAGATCCACCCACAGATCTTGACTTTATCATCTCCATACTTCTTCCTCGCCTCAGGCTCCGTCAACCCAACAGTCCCAATCGGCGGATGACTAAACACCACAGTCGGGATATCTTCATACACAAGTTTGTCTGACTTGAACTTCTCCGGGCCAAAGAGCCTATTCGCAAGCCTTCGTCCAGCAGCGATCGCAACAGGAGTCAAAAGCCATTTTCCGGTTACGTCTCCGATGGAATAAACGTTAGGAACGTTCGAAGCTTGCCATTCGTCGACGACAACATCGCCCTTTTCCGTCGTCTTGACTCCGACGGATTGAAGGCCAAGTGTTTCAGTATTGGCGTGTCGACCAATAGCCCAGAGGAGCAAGTCCACTTCGAGTGTCTTTCCCGTATCGAGGTGGAGAGTGAGCGGACCGCCTTTGCCCTGGGGAGCTTCGACGCGTTTAATCTGCGTCTTCTTATGAATGTTCACTCCAGTATGCTCCATCCAGTCCGTCAGCGTATCCTGCAAAACCGGATCAAACGTCCTCAACACGCGTTCATGTCTAATAAGCACATGCGTCTCGCTCCCAAGCGTATGGAAGATCCCCGCAAGTTCAACAGCGATATATCCCGCACCAACAACCGCAACCCTCCTGGGCTGTTGTTCAAGATCGAAGAACCCATCCGAGTTAATACCGTAACTCGCACCAGGTATCTGATCGTCTCTTGGTATTGTCGGGCGTCCACCAACAGCAATACACACATTCCGCGCATTCAACTCGTACGAAGTCCCATCTCCGCGCGTTACGCGTACGTGATCGGGGGAAATCAGTTCTGCGTGTCCTTGGTGTTTTTCAACACTGTCCTTTTGGAGGTTACTTTCATAGATCCCGTTCAGACGCTTGATATATGCGTCTCGTTGGGTCTTGAATTCGCCCCAAGAGAACTTAGGTTCACCGACTCCTGTACCTTTGAATTGATACGACGCTGCATGACGAACCTTTTCGGCGATGTCTGCAGCGTGCCACATTAACTAACATAAAACCAAAGGGCCCCAGTCAATCTCTAGCTAGTTTAATCAACTTTTAAATTGAATTTGATATACCGACCTTCTTAGGCACACACCCGACATTAACACACGTCCCACCAAGCCGATGCGTCTCCTCTATTAGTGCAACCTTCTTGCCATAGCTCGCAGCACGCCTTGCAGAGGCGATACCTCCGCTGCCACCTCCGATCACGACATAGTCGTATAGGTCGTGTGCAGGCTTCGATACGGGTGGCATGCTGGATGTGCTGCTGGATGCAATTGCTCTATACGTCTATATAGACGAGGGATTGAAGGTGGGGTCAGTGATACGATAACAAGAGTTTAAAGGCGAAGGATAATAATCTGGAGACCGAGCTAGGATAGGAACTCCGATGATGACATTCAGAACCGGAAGATAAAAACAGGAACAGACCTGGTGAAGTCTAGCAGAAGCTAACGCGCCTGGACGAGAGAAGCGCAATGAAAGGAGAGAAGAAGCCACGGCGTTCGTGCTGTCCCTACCCCACTGCAAGACCGAGCAATATTTATACAGGAAATGACGACAAACGGAGGTCGAACAGGGAACTGCTTACTCACAGTCGCCGTCAGCATCGACGCGTCTGACACATCTCGGAGAAGGCGTGATCACGCGTGCTTGCGAGTGACCTTCCCTGCGCACAATTCGTCGACTAAGGAAGGTCTTATGCAGGCAATAGCAGAACGCCGAGATACAGTTAATGCAATAGCAATAGCACTTACTTGTGTGTCAATAGCCACGATAGCCGTAGTCACCGGATCCACGATGCAGTTAATACGGTGTATTTCAAATTGTAGTACCAGGTGTGTATTTCAATAGTTACATACATGAAAAGTAAAAAGAAACTTGGGAACCAATGAGCGACATGTTACAGTTAGTTGGAGTTAGACCGTGCAAAGAATTCAGAACTAAAACTCATTACCGAACCCGGGCTAGAGCCAGAGTCGTCATCAAAAATCATATCCATCTCCATCTCCAACTCTGTGAGTGTATGGATCAGCTCGGATATACTGAGCAACGGAGTTGACGCGCCCGACATCGGCGGCGAGGGTGGATGCGAATGCAGATCAGCGGATTCACATGCAGCTTGGAACGACACTGAGAAGTCCAGTGTCGGGAGTACGACAGATGCCGCTGGGTCGACCTCCGGTGTCAAAGGTCTGGGATTGTCCTCGTCGTCCTTCATCTCGACGAGTCGACACCAACCTTTCCCGGCATCACCCATCACGTTCCTCACCATCACCGCTGTCCACCCTTTAAACTCCACACGCAGTATGGTACACAGTCCACTCGCATCTCCATGAGCAGAAAAAGTAGCACCCTTATCCCATACCCCGCATGCATCGAGTCTCGCAAACAAAGATGACACGCGGAGCGAATGTATTCGATGTGTGGATAGGACTTCTTGCAAGTCAGAAACCACGAGGAGATTCGGCTCCGTCGCTTGTGTTTCCGTCAATGGAAGACGGCTCGTTGGGGTCGGTGCAAGAGGTACAAGCAAGACAGTCGTCATGTCGCTTGCAGCCGGAGCTGGTTCAGGGAAATAACGCTCAAGTTCGACGACCTTCCTCGTCTTTTCAATGGGCTTCGCGCGAAGCGTCGAATGGACATTTTCCTTCTCGTTGCTTGGCTTCAAGTCCCTCCTCATTTTACCCTTCATCTTCCTCTTCTCCAAGTCCCAGTCTGCTTCGTATATCGCCCGTCCGGCAACAGGCACGTTCTGCGTCAGCTGCTGAAATATTGGTCGTGCCGTCGAGAAATTCCTTGCAGTACCAAGACCAACTTGTACCGTGCTCCGCGAAGCCGGAGAGGGTCTCGGCAAGAACGGTCCTCTTGGCTTTGAAGACGCATAAGCATGGCGTGCAGGTAACGAAAGTCGCTGTTCAATCGTCTGCGGTCTAACAGTTGCATTGACCCTCGTTGACAAGCCCGCGGTCTGTCCTACGACAGGGTGAGAGAATCCAGGAGTAGTAAGGTGTGCAAAGAAGCGCGAGAGTGCTGTTCGAGTAGTGTGTAAGATTCGTCCTGTTGTTGTCGTCGTGGGTGGACGATGTCCATGAGGATGCACGCCAGGCGCTGAGCGCGGGGCGTACGCATGCAGCGAGCGGATGCCTGAGGCGAAGTGCCCCAGGCCCTTGGACGCTGACTGCATCGTCGAGTTAACCAGTCAATTTCCCTGGTTGAATGTGTCAACAACGACAACGATGGTGGTAAGAGACAGGAGCGGAATGCAGTGAATAATTTATTAAATTGCTTCCGGAAGAAGCCGGATGACGACTCCACTCGGCGCTTGTGCCATTACACAGCCATTCTGCTGCTAAAAGTGTTATTTTTAATTTTATAGCTCAATATAAGCTCAAAATATTTATTGCAGCAGTCTCTCACAGAAGGGCAGTCTCTCTCCAAAACCGAATGCATCTAAATTCAACTGAATTGCATGGCCCAGAACTTCCGCTGTCTTCAGTCTAAGTCAAATATTTCCAAGCAGTAATTTCTTCTCAGACGAACAGAATCAAATATCTGCATAATTCATCGTTTGTACTTTCGCTTTAAATACTTGTCCTTATCTCTTACAATATCATGCACTTCGATTTCTCACTCAGAACGTTGCACCTTGATACCTGATCATGATGCATACACGCGTCAGTTCGCCACACAGCATTCCTGAATATGCGAGAAGTACACACCCAAGGAACTCTCTCCCAGGGTCAACGAATGTGCTGCATATCCATTTCAGTGCATGTCTACGAAAAACGCATAGGAAAGTCACACACATATATCCGCGATTATTCTTGAGTCCTAGCTTTTTCTCAAAGAACTCCGTCAAGGCTTTGCTATACTTGGCATTTGCCTGAGGGTTCAGATTACCCAAAGATATCTGTGTATTGATAGTGATAGTAAGTTTCCGGGGATCAGAAGCACAGACGATGAATGACAAAGAGTAGTGAACCTACAATGCTCAAAAGAAACGCTGGTTCGAAGCTTCCAGCAAAGGTGAGGGATTCATTGTATGTGTAGCAGACAGAAATGTATGACTCCGGCTTTCCAAGAGCCTCCGCAGCGATCTTTTCGAAAAACATGGCATTCAGTGTATCTTCGCTCACCCAACCATGTTTCACACTGACGGACCTTGGAGAACTCGAGCGAGAACGCTTTCACGTCATCGATCTGAGTGAATATATGCGCAGTTAGATGACTCTAATCGACTATCTAAAGACTATTCAACTGAGCAGATACCTTCACGTTTGTTGTGAGCTGGAGAGCGGGCATGATGGCTCGATTATCGACGTTAGTGCTTGAACTTTGGTATGACCAAGCTTGGTCCAAGTTTACACCTTGAATCAGAATGTCGATCATCCAAAGCTTGTTTAGGCACGTTATGACGTCACGACATCATTCTTCTCGTTCCTGCACTCGCTCGCCTGACTTTGAGGCAGGCATAAGTATCAAAGTTATGTCTCGACCACCGCATCATGCAAATGCGACCAGGACGCTTTTTCAGAATCCATGGAAGACGCCTGAAGAGCCAGATGATAACGCCATTGAACCGGTAGAAATCGACTCTCATCCTCAGTCTTTGACGCAAGAGCCCAGCTGGTTTGGTAGCCTTACGAGTGGCCTACCGTCTGTATCGTCATTGCTATCAAACATACCTCTCGAGCGGGCAAGAGATTTATCAAGTCATGGGATTTCACTCACGAAAGTTGTTAAGCCCGACTTTGACAAGTTTTCGAACAGTCGCAAGTCTGTGAAGGCAACTTGGTTGGGTCACGCGGTAAGCAGAAATTTCCAGTGAAACGAAGCAAATTAGTCTGAAAATCCTCGACTTCAAGAGCTTTCTTGTAGAGCTTCCACCCCAGGATGACTCAACAAAACCGATCCGTGTTCTCTTTGATCCGATGTTCTCAGATCGCGCAGGCCCATCTCAATGGACAGGTATTCAAAGGCGTTTGCCTCCTCCTTGTACCATTGCAGAACTTCCAGAGTTCCAATTCGTTCTTATAAGCCACAATCAGTAGGTCATACAACTCTGGTTTCCCTCACTAGAAAAATCGCACTAGCTTATGACACTCAACTGGCAGCTATGATCACCTTGACTTACCGAGCATTCATGAAATCGTGCGTACGCGCGGTGACAGCGTCACTTTTCTTGTTCCATTAGGCAACAAGCAGTGGCTCGTATCCACAGGGATTGTGAGCAGCAGAATATTCGAATTGGACTGGTGGGATGATATTACCCTGCCACGGCCTCACTCAACTCTGAATTCTGACCGAGCGTCTGAACCTGTGGTATCAGCGTCTAACTTAACATTCGTTTGCGTCCCTGCTCAGCATACCAGTGGTTAGTATCTGATATTTGTATTGAGAGTTTCTCCTCACGCGCCATGTAACTACAGGAAGAAGTGTCCTAGACAAATGTACGACTCTATGGTGTGGATGGATAATCAAACAAACTCTGGAAGATATTAACATTAGAGTATACCATGCTGGGTAACATTATGACCTATATACTTGTTGCTGTTGTTAATTCAGTTAACAGGGATACAGGTTACATTGGCACGAACGGTGCTTGCCCCGTATTTAAAGGTAGTTATTTAATTACTTTGCTGCCTGTAGGCTTACGCATAAATCACTACATCCAGAGATCGGCCAACGATATGGTCCCTTTGATCTATCACTTCTTCCAATTTGGAGAGGTGGCACACTGTCTTTCATATCTCAGCTAGGACTACGTGTACGTCCATTACTTTGCACGCCTTCAAACTACTTATGCCTGTAGTTTCTCATTTCTGCTCCTGGCCTTTACAATCACGCGCGCTTTGCGAATAGCTAACTCACCACCCACTACTCTCGGCAATGCATACTTCTCCTTCTGATGCTATCTCAATACATCGCGATGTGAGGTCTCGTCATTCACTAGCTATGCATTTCGGGACATTCGCGGGTAGTGAGACAGAAGCTCTTGAGCCACTCGTCGAACTTGCGCTCGCGCTTCAGAAGGCGGAACTAGGCGATTGGTGGCAAGAAGGAGGCATAGGTGCAATTGACGTTGGTGAGACTGTTGAAGTTCGATGCGGAAGTGAGAACGAAGAGTCGCGAAGCGGACAGGATGACGACGGAGCGCCCATAACACGATAATGGCGATCACTACAGTGCTGGAGAAATACAAAGAGAGCATGCTCTTGGTCTTTACAATAATGCAACAAATGGTTTATCTAAAAAGGACTTAACTATCCCCTCAATAGCTTCGAACCGAGTATGTGCATTCTTAAATACATGGTATCTAGTCGATTAGGATGCGGAGTTATAAAAGGATCAACACCAAATTAGCAGTGATACTTACTTCTCCTTTACTATTCTATTTCCATCCTTCAATCGTCAAATGAGCTTAGGTATGTAGTTATCATTATCAGTGAGAATTCCTCCCTGAACGTTGTCTTGTCCGTCTCTTGTGTTTCTTTTGAATACCACGTTCTGAGCCACCTCCGGACCGAGTTCGAGTCCTACTCGTCCGTGTATCTTTACTCCTGTTGCCAACTTGTCCTTTTTCCACAGTTGTCATTCTGGACCCTTGAACATAGCTGTCTTATTCAAGCTGATACATAAGAGCAAGGTTATGGAGACGTTTCAGTACTTCCAAATCTATTTATGACTCTTTGACTCTGCAGTACTAGAAAGCACTCAATAGATTAAATATCTTGGATTTAAACTTATTTAATCACTTACTTTCCCATTTTTATTTGGGAATATCTTGCAAGGAATTAGTATTATCCATCCTACAAATGCCTCATTATTAATAATGACAGACACTGGATCTTGCTGATTTGACACTCCATCCTCCTTCATCACGAAAAAGTCGCAACAAATGTATTTAATAATAGCAAAGGTAATCTAATAAAATGATTTTATAAGCATTACATTCTAAAATAATACTTGTATTTCACTTGTAATGTAATTATAATGATTGTATATAAATGTAAGAAATATACAAAGTTTCTATTAAACTACAAACATGTTTTAGAGCAAGTAAGCTTACTAATAGTATTATTACAACATTACATGTGAGGTACAAGTACTCAACTCCTATTATAATATGCTAAAATTATATTATAAGTTATTTGTAACAATAGTTGATTGATTATAATAGTCATAAAAGTAATATGTTGTGCTTGTAAGTTAATTACAATACTTTTAGTAAGATAATATACAATTATATATATTAATAATGTTAACAATCACTCTGTCAGACTTATAATATAATTTGTTTTTACCTTTAAACAATATATCGAAGTGATTACATAATCGAGTACCAAAGATCGAGAGCATATAATGACGCACTTGCTCTCGTCACTCCTTTTCCTCC